TTTAGATTAACGAGAAGCGATCAAAATGGTGAACAATATGGATCACGGTTTGCCCAAGTTTTCTCTTCTAGGTTATGATGATTGGAAGATCATGATGGAAGCACACCTTTACGCTCTACATGATTGCATGTGGATGGTGCTTGAGGATGGACCCTTGAAAATCCAAATGGAGAATCTTGAGAGGAATCCAGCAACTCCAGACGTAGTCCAGTACATTCCAAAGCCCAAGGAAAAATGGGATGATAGAGATTGCAAAAAGCACAATCTGGATAACGTCGCCAAAGCAGCCATCTTCAAGACACTTGACCCCATCACCTTCTCCAAAATTAAGCACCTCAAGACTGCCATGGAGGTATGGCAAGGTCTTGGGAAGCTATGTGAGGGTTTAGAGGACTTGAGAAAGCAGAAGATAGAAGTCCTGCTTGAGAAGTTCAAAAGCTTCAAAATGCTTCCCGGAGAATCATTTGATATGCTGGATGAAAGATTCCACAAAATCTTGAATGATCTTGCATCACTTAACCACGTTCTTTCTCCCAAAGAAAAGAATGTAAGGTTGCTGAGATCTCTTCCAACTGAGTGGTAAACCAAAGCCACAGCCATGGAAGAAGGAAGAAATCTGGAGAACTACACTGTTCAAGGTCTTCTTGATGAGCTCAGAACCTATGAGCACGAGCTGAAGAAGAAGAAGGAAGAACAAGTCACTCCCTTTCCCACGGCACTGATGACAACTCCAAGAGTCCCACCAAGTGAAGGGACATGCCCAAGGAACTGTGACACACCCTCCTCCAGCCAGCCGTCAAGTTCAAAAATGGAGAACTATGATGAGGAATTTGCCATGATGGTCAGGCAATTCCGGAAGTTCAAAAAGTTCTTCAAGAAAGCTGACTGAGTCAGAAGGCCATCCAAGGGAAAGCCACAGGTAAGTGACTCTCCTCCTGAATCTTATTTGTGTTACAATTGCAGGAAGCCCGGCCACTGGAAGTCAGCGTGCCCGTACCCAAAAGTGGAGAAGTACAGAGAAAGAGAAAGGAACGAGAAGAAAAAGAAGGCAATGGTTGCTGCTGAAAGTGACGAGTCATCCAGCTCAAGCTCGGATGAAGAAGCTCTCGTCTGCATAGAGCGCAGAGCTGAAAAGTCCAACCATGAGGATAGGTGGACCATGTCAGAAGATGACACTCTCTGCCTAATGGCCAAAGATGATGTTGATCAAGAGGTAACCTCACAAACCTCCTGCTCATCTTCTTATGAAAGCATACCAACTTCTGAAAATGTTTTTGACCAGTTCAAAAAGATGATGAAAGACTTTGAGGAGATAAATCTCAAACATTCTTCCTTAACAGAGGAGAACAAACTATTGAGTGAAGAGAATCTCAAGTTCACTGAAGGTCGGAAAAGTCAACTGAATGAGATCACTCAACTCAAGACTGAAAATGAATCTCTCTCTGAAAAGGTGAAATCCCTTAACAAAGAACTAGGGACTCTTAAGTCAAAAGAGGCAGTGGATAAGCTTCTTGAAACGACCAAACATAAGGGTCGTGAAGGACTTGGGTTTGACTCCTCTAGCTATAAAAGGAAAGGGAAAAAAACTTTCATCCCTCCTAAACCTACTGCTAAACCAAATAAGCAGAAAGGGAAGGAAAAGGAAAAACCAATAGAAGTTTCCAAAAAGGTAGTCCCTCCTAAGAACTATAGGAAGCTGGACAAACCTCAAAAAGGAAATAATTTCAGAAGAAAACCTTTTAACCCCCATTATACACGAGGCTATACCCATTATGGGGTAGACAGGAGTTTTCCAAGAAATTCTGAGTGGAGAACTATGCCAAGATATAGTCACCCTCCACCCCAGAAGCTATTTGTGCCACCTAAGTATGCTTATAACCGACACAGGACACACTATGCACTACCTAGACAAAATCATAGGTCTTATCAACCTGGGTTTGCTAGGAGGAAACAGGAAATAACACCTCGTGCACGTAGGAAGTTTTATGCCTACAACCATGATTACAATCCCAACAAGTTTAGAGCTGCAAGGAAGATTCCCTGCAACTTCAAACTTGATGTAGGGACACACACCATTAACTACTCCGGACCCAAACTTAATTGGGTACCAAAATCTTCCTCCTCTTAATGCAGGAAGCCACTAAGTACCCAGGTGTCTGGTACTTAGACAGTGGCTGTTCAAGACACATGACGGGTGATGCGAGCCTTTTGAGCAATCTAATTCCCTATGATGGTCCAAGAGTTACTTTTGGAGGAAGCAATGATTTCGGCCTTACTAAAGGGCTAGGAAATCTGGTGTACAAGGGACTAACCATCCAAGCTGTATCTTATGTTGAAGGGCTCAATTACAACCTTCTTAGCATAAGTCAGTTTTGTGATAAAGGTTACTCCTTGGAATTCTGCAAGGACATGGCATCTCT